TGAATGTATTATTTAATAAGGTAGGGTTACAATTTCATTGAAAATAAATATCCACACGAAATAATTTGTCACCAGATAATGTATCACGAATCGTGTGATAATGAATGTGTTGTTTAATGATATTAAGATGTTATTTGTCAGGTGAATAAAAACTCCACACACAATTTTTTTTATCATTAAATAAGTTATTATAAGTCATGCGGTAATGAATATGAGTCATTAATTGAGTGAGGGGTGATATTTGATAACTGGGAGAAAAATGTTCACTCAAAGAAAGGACACCTGATAAGTTATCATGAATCAAAATAATAATAAATGTGTCATTTAATGAGGATAGGGTTGAGTTAATTAAGATATGTGTCATTAAATTAGTTTATAATGACTAATTTAAAGCTTAATAATCCTAAAATTTAATTTGTATGTGATATTTTAAAATAAATTACTCATGAAAAGTCATGTCTTTTTTTTAAAGCACAATTTTTTTTTCATTTTCATTTACACTATTATAAAATCAATCATATACATAACTATGTTATTTTGTATTTAGTTTTCTTCAGTTCATTGGATAAATACTATTATTATTATTTTTAATAATTTTAAATCTTATGATGTTAATTTAAATATATTCATGATATAATAAAATTTCTTTTAAATCTAGAAATCTAAAAGTAAACCCAAATATTAATAGAAGATAAAATTATTTTATTTACATAATTCATGAAAATTTTAAATTTTAAAAATGAAAGTAAAAATACTGTTTTGCTATATTTATTTTGAGTTTTAATTAGAAAACAAATTGAAATTTACTATGCGACATTAAAATTTTAACAATATTTTTCTTCTCAATTTTTTTTTGTAAAAATTATAATCAAGATGATAAGTTGTTTTTAATTTGAAAATTTTAAGTTCTTAATTATTTCAAGTGAAAATAATTTATGTTGATTATGATTTTACTCTATAATGTATTGTGTAATTTATTAGTGATATTTGACAAATGAAAAAAATATTCATATAAAAAGACCCATCATTAAATAAGCTATTATAAATCATGATATAATTAATATATTGTTTGATAAAGGTGAGATTTTTTTAATGAAATAGAGGTGAATATTTTAATTAAGACATGTACAATTTAGTTAGATTAAAATTTCTATCTAGAATATTACGCATTTCAAAGTCATAACCATTAGTGATATTTTCTTTGATAAATTTATCTTTATATAAAATATGTCTTTTCAAAAAACAAAAACACAAAAGAAAAATAAAAAAATCACATTTATTCATACTATTACAAAATTCAACAATAACTTATTAGTTCTTTCCTTTTATTTTATTAGTCTTAATATTAACCGTGCACAAAAATTAAAATAAATTATTAATTAAATCACTAAAACAAAAAAATATCCACATAAATGTGCAAAATTTGTGCCAACAAATCCAAAAAAACTATATAAACAACATAGAAAAATGCAAAAAATTGAAAACAATTCAAAAAAATCATTTAATAATATCATCCCAACATATATAATTTTGTCCACTATGATTTTATTATAACGGAAAAGGATCAACGTGACTGTGAATTTGTTGCTTTATTATGATATTTGACGAGTATAAAAAAGTATTCTTTTTTAGATAATTAATATATTGTTTGATAAAGGTGAGAGTTTTTTAATAAAATAGATAGGGATATTTTAATTAGGACATGTACAATTTAGCTAGATTAAAATTTCTATTTAGAATATTACGCATTCCAAATTCATAACCATTAGTGATATTTTCTTTGATAAATTTAGATAAATTTATCATATAAAAAGTATGTCTTTTATAAAAAAAAATAAAAACACAGACGAAAAATAAAAAAATCATTCATTTCTATTCATACTATTACAAAATTCAACAATAACTTACAGTTCTTTCCATTTATTTTAATTGTCTTAATATAACTGTACACAAAAAATAAAAATAGATTATTAATTAAATCACTAAAATAAAAAAATATGCACATAAATGTGCAAAATTTGTGCCAACAAATCCCAAAAAACTATATAAACTACGTAGAAAAATGCAAAAAATTGAAAACAATTCAAAAAGTTAGATGATTATTCAATAATATCATCCCAACATATATCATTTTCCCCACTATGATTTTATCATAATGGAAAAGGATCAACGTGACTGTGAGTTTGTCGCTTTTATTATAGTAGTTATATTTTACAAGTATAAAAAAATATTCCTTATTAGGTAAGTTGTCACGTAAAAATGAACATATTAATTAATGAAAACGAAAAAAAAAACTTACAGGAGGATTCACACAAGAAAAAATATTTGATAGTTAGGCGATCACAAATAACGTGGTGATGTTATGTTGTTTAGTAAGGTGGATAGTATTTGACAAGTGGAAAGAAAGTGTTCACGCGAAAAAAATTAATCACTAGATAATTTATCATAAGTCGCCTAGAAATGAACGTATTGATCAATGAAAATGAAAATTGTGATAGGGAAATTCACCAGAGAAAAAACATGTTAACAACTAGGAAATTACGAGTAATGTGATAATGATATGTCGTTTAATGAGGTGAGGTAATTCTTGACAAGTGGAAAAAAATACTCACACAAAAAAAATCAATCATTGGATAATGTATCATAAGTCACGTGAAAGTGAATGTGTTGTTTAATAGGATAGGATTATATTTTCGTGTGAGAAAATATAGGCACAACAAAAATTTATCGTCGGATAATTTATTATGAATCATGTGACAATGAATGTGTCAATTAATGATATTAGGATGATATTTGTTGGGTGAAAAAAAATTCACACTACAAAGATTTTTACTAGATAAGTTATTATGAATTACCATATAACAAATATATGTCGTTTTATGAATATATGATATATTTGTTAGATGGGAGAAAAATATTCATGCAAAAAAAAAACCCATCAAATAAGTTATCATGAAGTTAAACTAAATTTTTGAAATTAAAAATACTAGTGTACTGTTTGGTTGCACAAGTCTAAATCATAAGGTTATATTGAATTTTGAAAATAAAATTAATTATTTAAAATTAAAAATTTATATTACACAGATAAGGGTCTTTAGAAATGATATTAAATTATATTTACTAAATATAATTTCACAAAATTATAAAACATTTAACAAAAAGATAATCTATCAAGTCTAACTTAAAAAAAAATAGTCTGCAATGAAAAAAATCGAGTCAATACTCTTTAAACAAATGAAATTGAAAATATAACACAAATTTCTTAATTCAAAACACAAATTTTAACGTAGCACTCTTATTTCAAATTTCAGCGTAGCATACATAAATATGATTTAAAAGAAAAAGAAAACGCAAGTCTATAACTTTATTCAATAATGAATTCTATTTTAATTTAAAATTAGAATAATACCAAAACTATACTAATTAATTTTATTTAGATAATACGAAAAATTGTATGAAATCAGATGAAGTAAAGGTTGAAAATGATAAATAAATGAAATATAAATAATATAAAATAAGAAAAAAATATTGAAATATTAAAATTAATTTTTTTTTAAAATAATAAAAGTAAAACATACATTAAAACGAAAAATAAAAATGGAAGAATTTAAAAAGTAATCAGCTTGTAAGCACCGATCTTGCACCCATAGCCTACAAATTGATCAACATTTAAATAGTAAGTTACAAGGGAGAGCTTCATGGTGACAAGATACCAACAACTAGGGGTGTACAAATCAAACCGTAAAGTCAAACCGAACCGATGAACGAAATCAAACCAGAAAAAAAAATTGTGATTTGGTTTGGTTGGTTTGGCGATTGAAAAAAAAATTCGACCACTCTTGGTTTGGTTTGGTATTAAAAGAAAAAAAGTCAAAC